GGGCCGCGGCATTAGGAAGGTTGAGAACCACTGATCTAGGGGACCCGAGTAGACCATGATTAATTAGGAAAATTAGGAAAACAAATATACTCAAGTGTAATTTGAAATCAGCTGGTAGTACTTTTTGTTTGACTTCTTTACTCTTTGTATACTTGAATTTTATTTCAAGTAGTCAGACCATTTGAAACCATATTCTATATACATAACTCAGAATTTAATCAGACATTTTGATTCTTATATTACATGTGGTCTTTTCTTGACTATTTAACAAAAGACTGATTATATGATTAGTTAAAAACCAGAAAGGTCTGAATATGAGTTGAAACTATTAGGTTAAAATGAAATCTCCACAGTTTTATGTATTTCAAGGTAATTATAAGGTTTTTCTTCTTTTCTTGGTAATGCCAATCAGATATCACTTTTAGTCATTTCTAAACTAAGCCTGAAAATGTCTTCATTTTGTGTGTTATTTGCAATTTTTTCCCATGATAATGAGGGAGTGGTACATGAGGCCATCATTCCAGCATATTACAGCTTTGTTCCTTTTGTTTTATTTTAATCTAAATCACAGAATATGATTAGAAAAGGTGGTTTTGGATTGGATGGGTATCTCAGTACATACAAAATTCAGTTTGGGAGGCTCCCTTTGAGAAAGGAGTCACAGCAAGGATCCCTGTTTTGAATTAAATGGATCACTTAGACCAGGAGGATTTCATTTTGTTAGGATAGTATATGATATAGACTATGTGTGGATTCCTGCTTGTTTACAAACAACTGTGACTACTCAGATTTACAAATCTATTTAGGTCTATCCAGAATCATTATAGCTGAATTGAGCTCTGTAGAAAAAATGTCTGGGGAGATAAGAACTCTATTATCAGAGCAAACATTTTAAAGCCCAAACATCCAGATTTCAGTTTACTTAAAGGGGATCGGGGTCTACTCAGACAAGGTAAGGCCATTTATAGATTATAAACAAGTGGAAATGTTAGGTTAACAGCCACTTTGGGGAAACTAAAGAAGAGGCTAGAGGAACTTGGAAGCCGTAAGTAAAGGAGTGACCAGTTCTAGGAGAAAGAATGCACAAGGACCACCTGGACAAAACACACATTGAGAGCAGGCAGAGAAAGCACCATGGAGTCAGATATAAACATAGCCCAGTGTCCACGACCAAAGACCCTGTGTATTGGAGAAGCAGGACATGAGGTTAGAACCAAGCCGGCCTTTGTTCTCCTGTCTCAGTGGGAATTAAGGCATTAAGGAGACTAGCCTGGAGTCTTTGAGAAGAACACAAGAATAGAGAGTTAGTAGTTTTAGAGATGGAAGTACAAATTTTCCTTTAGCATTTCCTGACACATTGTTGAGGGTTTTTTGTTTCTTATTATTTTTTAATTCAACCCAAAGGTATTCATTTTAATCACTTTCTATTTTGGCTTATCTTAGCAAAACTAATTCTAAGCATTTATTTGCATTATAAATTATATATGTTTGTGTGTGCATTTTTACAAGGGTGTAATATGTGTGTATTTTACCTGCCTTTAATATGTCAAACCCACTAGCAGAACTATTTGTATGTGTGGTTGAAATTTTTAATTTATTATTTGCTTTTCCTAGTTAGCTATGTGTTGACTTCTTTTTCTAGGCTCATTTTTTTTAACCCAAGGGGGAAAGAGCCACCATACAACCAGCTTTAAAAGCAGGCAAACAAATTCTTCTTTCTAGAGCACTGGAAGCATTGGCTAAATCTTGATTTTCCAGGTTAGAAAACATCACTGCTTGCTCCTAGGGCTGCTGTTTTTTTGCTGCATCACCCAGTGGTCTAGGATGGAGACTCTTATATTCCCACAAAACATTTGGCAGTACAAGAGAGAGGGTTGGAAACAACCATGAAATTGGGTGAATTTTTTGGTGATTTTTTTCTGTTTTCATAGCAAAATTTGACAGATATAATCTCACTTCTTATGGCAATTTCTTTTGAAGTATAAAAAGATAGACTTTATGGCTTTATAATGATGCTCTATTTTATATTGTAAAAAGCATTGTTATTATGCTGACAGTCAATCCTATATAATAAAACCCTAATATGCAAATTGACGGAACAGCAGAATGACCGGTGGAACAACTGGTCGCTATGATGCGCACTGACCACTAGGGGGTAGACGCTCAGGAGCTGCCCCCTGGTGGTCAGTACACTCTCACAGGGAGAGTGCCGCTCAGCCAGAAGCCGAACTCACCTCTGGCAAGCGCAGTGATTGTGGTGGGATCCTTTCCTGCCTCCACGGCAGCGCTAAGGAACAGTGAGCCGAGCGGTAAGGAACAGCGAGCAGGCAGGTGGTAAGGACCAAGGAGTCCTGGACTGTGAGAGGGATGTCTGACTGCCATCTTAGGCCCAGGGGGATCGGGCCTAAGCCGGCAGCCAGACATTACCCGAGGGGTCCCGGACAGTGAGAGGGCACAGGCCGGGCTGAGGGACCCCTACCCTCTACCTCCAGTGCACGAATTTCAGGCACTGGCCTCTAGTAAGGTATATGTGTCTACCTAAAAGGAAAGCACTATCTATTGAGCATACAGTTCATTTCTCAATGAATACTATCTTCCTCTATACTGCAGAATTCTCTAGGAAGAACTAGCAGTGAGAGACTATGATGGTACTTGAATGGCTTGTGAAATAGCTGCCAATTGGCTAATTGAATAAAACTCTCATACATAGATGACATAGATGACATAGTAATGAGAGGTTAGTATCTCTGGCATAATGAATTCCCAAAGTAATACACCAGTGTTTGCAGCCTCATAATGTATGTACAAGAGGCTGAAAGCTATTTGGCAATTTATATAATTTGCAGCCAGTGTCACAAGAACTTGTGTGTGCTCCCACCATCAAATCTTCAACTATTGACTCTTACCCGTGTGCCCCGCCGGCCCTTTGGTTCTGGTGGGTGAAGTTTTATGCACCTGTCCAATACCAGTTCCTCCTCTTCTCAGGGCAGCCCGTCCCCTTTGGTGGACTCAAGGGTATCCTTCCTGTGTTTGCCACTTCTTTCCATGCATCATCTTTCTTTCTGCTCCCAATTCAGCATTGTCCGTTAGCATACAAACATAGGGATTATCTACCAAACTAACACAAACCATTCTCCTGCTTTGTTTCCCATTAGCAAGACTTGGAGACTTGGAGTGTATGTGCCTTTTTAAAAAAAAAAGTATTTTTATTGCTTTCAGAAAGGAAGGGAGAGATAGAAACATCAGTGATGAGAGAGAATCATTGATCAGCTGCTTCCTGCATGCCCCCCACTGGAGACCGAGCCTGTAATCCGGGCATGTACCCTGACTGAGCTCCTGGCTCATAGGTCAACCACTGAGCTACACCTGCCAGGCATATGTGCCTTGATTCTACATCATCACCTCCTCTTTGTCTTGTCTTTGTCTTGAACCTGTTCCAGTAGGTTTGATCCCTGTGATTTCACTGAAACACCTCTAGTCAAGTGATTTCAAAGTGCAAAATCCAATGGGAAGTTCTCAGTATCTTTTTTATTGTATCAGCACTTTGACACAACTGCTTACTCCAAACTCCTAACACATTCCATCACTCAGCCTACAGAAGTCCCTCACTCAGTTCCCTGTGCTCCTTGCGGGCTTCTCTTTCTCTCTCCTCCTCTTAAACACTGGAGTGTCCCAGAGTTCATTTCGTAGACTTCTCTATCATCACTTACTCTCTAGTCACATCACCAGTGACATCCAGATAACTTGGGGAATTCTAGACTGTCATATTCAGTCCCTACTCAGCTTCTCCACTTGGATATGTCATTTCTTTTCTTTCTTCTAATACCGCTTGCTCCTTCTCTGTTCTTCAGTGTTGCAATAAATGGCATTCTCTTTTTCCTGTTACCTAGGCCATCAGCAAAACTGTGCTTCGATTGCCTGTAAGGTAATCCCACATCCCAATGCACTCTCCTGCAAGCATTTGCACTTGCTGTTCCCTCCACTGGGAGTGCCCTTCCTCCACACAGTGCGTCCTTGAGGTCTTTGTTCAAAAACCACCTTGTGAGAGAAGCCCTTCCTCATGACCAAACACAAAACAACCCTGCCACTGTCTGTCCCCCATTCCTTGTCCTGCTCAATCATCGCATTATCCCACAGACATATACAGACACATACATGTGTGCTATATACGTGTGTGTTCAGTGATGTCTGTTTTCTTCTCAGAACATAAACTCCACATGCATAGAGACTATTTTGTTCACCATTTCATTTAACTCCAGAGCCTAAAGCAGTGCTTCACACATAGTAGGCACTCAGTATCTGCAGAATTTTGTGTACCATTTTTTTTAAATCTATGACCAAGTCTTCAGAGAAAGTTTAAGAAAATGTTAAAGATTATGTACATATATTTGAGCATTAAAAAAGAAAAAGCAAGTGACAATTCTAACATAAAAAGAAATATTTTAGCTGAAAAATATGGAATTTTCACTTTTTAAAGAGCTCGCCACTAATACATTCCAAGAATTGTTTCCAAATGTCTAACTTTTTCATCATTTTAATTGGATTTTAATTATTATTTGAATAAAATTAGTAGCATTTGTATATAGATTAGATGAGATAACTGATACTTTTTAGTTTTTCATTTCTTAATATCATTTTGTTGTAAAAAGAAATGAAATTAGTGAGGAGTGAGGAAAGGAATGTTTGTTTTAAAATGTTTTAACCTGGAGGACTTTATTTTCATTCTGTTTAATTAAATATTCTTAGAGAACTATATGTATCTAAATCATCAAGTTAAACAGAAGCATTAGGGTTTATAAGAGTGTATACTTTATCTCATAATGACTGGTAATTTCTTTTTATATGAGTAATTTGTTTTTAGTATTCCTCCATGATACATGTATTTAATTTATATCCTTCTCTCTTGTATAATCAGATTACTATTTTCTTGTATAATCTAATGTATAATCAGATTCTTGCTATTTTCTATCTTTTCACCTTTCTTTTCCTATCTGTGTCAGAATTTTTAAGGGGGCCTGAGATAGCTTTGCTCCGTAAGCGGCTGTACCAACTGAGGCTTAAGAAGGCTGAGCAGCAGAGGCAGCAGGAGCTGGCTGCGCCTTCCACTTCCGGTCAGGCTTCCCATGAGGGCCCCGCCCAAGACCCTCATGCTGCAGGTTATTAGCATACAGTGTCCTTAAGTAGCTGGTGGAGTTGGTGTTTAACACTGCTACTGTGTAGTAAGACGCTTCCCTGCCCCTTGGAAACAAAAGCTGATGCGCTTGCAGCTTCTCCTCTTTCTTGCCTAGGGTGGTGGTGGTCATCCCATAGCTAGAGAGACACATTGGCAGCAGTATTTGCCAGAAGGGAATATAAAATAATGCATTGTTTTATTTATATTTGGAGAGGGGCTATATTTTTTGCTTTTATAGTCAATGAACTACTTTCTAATAATTATCTATTGAATTTTGAGCCTCCATTGATATTTCTATTGAAATTTCCTATACCTTTAAATGGTATCTATGTTTATGACTCCTAGCTGCTCCTTTTTTTTTTTTTTTGCTTTAAAAGTTAACCAGTATTCCTATTCCCATATAAATGTAGTTATGCTGGATTTTAGAATTATAGTATTGTTTGGCCATACTAGCATACTGACTCAGTCATCCCCTTCTGTAATTATTTGAACATTTTCAATATCTACTGACTTATCTCTTCTACACATAATCAGCTTTCTGATATGTAGGACAGCAGATGTACTCCACAGTTTTATGTTCCTGTTCTGATGCTCTAAAACTCTGAGATAGTAATTATCTGTACCTCTCTTTTTCTTGGAGTATTTTACTGGCCCAGTTCTTTTATGGCAAGAAAGCTTTTGGTGCTCAGTAAGCATTTGTTGAGAGAATTGATGAAAGATAGAGCATAAAATAATTTGTCAACTCTTTCCAGATGGATCACAGGTACTGCATATCCTATATTATAGGTATTGTCTTAGATTCCATAAATCTCTGCTTAGGAACTAAAGTGTGTCTGCATTCTCATACTAAGAGATTATTATACTTTAGTTTACTACCATAAGGGTTGGTGAGTTTGGGCATTAATTGCTTTGAGAACTCTGCTTTAATTACTTGGAGTTAATTTGCGTATTGGTAGAATTGGACAACTTTTACTCTGTTTATTTGTTCCAGTAAGCACTCTGATAACAGAAGCACATTATATAATGGCATGGTGGAATAAAACAGATTTAAATAACTGTAATATAGGTGTGCTGTTTGGAACAAATTCTGGACCTGATTTTTGATGCAGTCACACAAAGATGTCTCTGATTTGTTTTGTTTTTACTATAGAGGAATCTTTTCCTATACTTGAAACTAACAAAAAAATTTGATTAGGTTACAATCATGGCATTTAATAAAACATTTGCTATGACTTTGTGCTTGTATAAGACTTTAGCTAAATTATTTCAGAAGTAAAAAATAGGCAACATAGAAACCAACAAGAAGACAAAATGTCTGTGTGTGTGTGTGTGTCTGGAAAATACGGAAACTTAAGTGAGTTTGAGTGTAAAACAAAGCTGTCTACATTAGCAGGAAAGGAATTTGTTTTGTTTTTTTTGTTGTTTTTTAATATATTTTATTGATTTTCTACAGAGAGGAAGGGTGAGGGACAGAGAGCTAGAAACATCGATGAGAGAGAAACATAGATCAGCTGCCTCCTGCATACCCCCTATTGGGGATGTGCCTGCCACCAAGGTACATGCCCTTCACCGGAATCGAACCTGGGACCCTTGAGTCCTCAGGCTGACGCTCTATCCACTGAGCCAAACCGGTTAGGGCAGCAGGAAAGCAATTTGAATGGAAGTAGGTTCTTTTTCGAATCAGAAAACTTTAGGGTGGTTATATAGTCTCTGTGAAATTAGATGGTATGTTCCCAACTCTTAAGTATCATTTTTAGTAAATAGTATCTAGTTTGGTAACCAGTATATTTGTGGGAATTTTAAGAAGCTGAAGCTGAGTAGATACCTTTTCAGTTATGAAGTTCAAAAACGTGTTATCTTTTCTTTGTTATTAAACAAAGTACTTGGGCCCCGAGGCTGACCACATGCACAGTATCAGAGACCCTTGGTGTTGCCACTCCAGGTGTGCCGCTCCCCTCACTTAAAGGTGGGGTCTTCATCTATTTCAAATGCTTTTGACATAGCATTTGTCTACTCTGCACATGCCCTGGGCTCCTCAACAGTGCTCTTTCCACATGTCACAGGAATACTGTTTGGTAATTACAAGAACCATTAAACTATGGGTTGTCATTTATTTCACAGGACAACTAATAAAATCTATATATTTTATTCAGTTATTAAATTCTGATATGAGGGGGGAAATACAAAATTCTTTATTATAGAACACATAAATTATAGAAATAAAGAATAGGAATGAAATTTATGAAACGGAGATAGGTTTTATTTGAAAAACTATTATTAAAACATTTTGTTATACTTAGTGATTAAATACAATTTTTTGTATGTATATTATGGGCATTAAGTAGTCCATTCCTTCACGCTAGATGTTACTACTAAATACTTCTATCAGTAGAGAAAGTATCTAGATTTTAACTTATTAACAATAAGCAATATGCAATTCTCATATATAAAATCTGTATTTTCTCATTATACCTTGATATATTTAGAGTATCAGTGAGGGATAAAACTGTCAGTAAATGATATTTCTATTGTCTTCTCACCTATTTAAATCTTACCGCTATAAGATACTCAAAGGAGACATTAATATAATATGGAAACCAAACAATTTTCACAACTGTAGAATTTCTGAATTATTACATTGTCTAGCAAACAGTTTATTCTCTTTTTAAAATATAGGACTGATGAGAATCTTTTGTGAAGGGCTAAGTGTAAGATGAATCTACAGTACCTAATTTCTATAGGAGAGTGGGATTAAATCACTTGGTAGAAATAATCTACGTTTTAATGGGATGGGGCCTCACGCTAGTTAATGATAATCCCAGATAGAATATATTTATTTAGTTGCCAGTATTTCTTGGCAAGTAAAAACTAAAACATCATTCGAAGGCACCAAATGGTATCACCTTCAGTTTCAAAATTGCTGTTTAAAATGAGCTCTGGAAGATAGATGTTAAAAGATGTTTAAACAGTGATTTTTCTCTCTCTCTTTTTTTTCTTTTCAACTGTGAACCCTTGTACCAGTCTCATATAGAAGTTCTAAGACAAAATATACAAGTGACCCCGTTGTGATTTCAGCATAAAGGAAGATAAGGAAGGTTACTCACCTGTTTGCCCCTCATGCCTCCCCCAAGTCACTGCTGCTCCCTGAAGTGCATTTTGAAATCACTACTCTTAAAGAATTTTGACACCTATAAATGACAAGTCTACATGGCTAATTTTCAAACATTTTATTTTTCAGTCAGGATATATTTTTACTTTATTTAGTGTTTTAAAAACAGCATTTTTCCTACACTTTTTGGAAATACACCATAACTCATTTCTAGCCTTTCAGTGATTTTTTTTTAATCATACAGAAATGAATTTTCCTTCATAAGATTACTGCCTGAGTATTAGACTTGGCTGAGATCTTGTCCCTGGCTCTGTGACTAGATGACCTTGGGCAGGTCATTTGGCTGCTTTATGCCTCAGTTTCCCAATTATTGCTGTATTTAGATAGTGTGACTGGCCATAATTTACAGAGATAGCATAAGGATGGGTTAGATAGTATAAAAAAGCTTTTATACTCCTAACTAGAATAGTATACATAATAATGTACTATCCTAATCATAGTATGTTTCACTTACTACCTCAAACATGCTTTTATCAGGGCCCCATAAGGCTGATAGCATCTGGGGTTTTGAATGAGCTGTATGTATATTTCTCAGACGAATGCCGCAAACAGCTATGGCAAAGGCCTTCAGCATATGGCTGATTTTAAACCCAGCTCTTTTTTTCCATTTCAGGTCCCCTGAAGTCATGGGTTGCTGGCTCCTGCTCAGAGTGACAGCACCCTGTGGAGTCTGCTGGTACTGGCCCGACCACCACAGAGCCCCACTGGAGCAGGGAGCCAGCCTAGAGAGGGTCAGGTAGGAACTGTTTTTTCACTTTATGGCACGGTTTTGCTGACTGGAAAAACGTAATTTTTATACCCCCCCAAAGGGTATAGAACATTGGTGATTATTTTCAAAAAAAGCTTTTCAAAACTGAGCCATATTGGAAAAAATCAGCACTTACCCATCCTGGGCAAACAGGCTCTTTCCAACACCAGATCCCCAGTGTCCGTGATCACAGTCTCGTGTGGCGCTTCTCAGGTGGATGCACTCCATCCACGTTTTAGTGTTTATAGCATAGGCCACAGTAAATTTGATATAATATTGACCTAGCCCTGCAAGCACTCCATAACGACCTTGAATGAGAATCCAAGCAAAGCAGTGATGATTTTCCTAGAACTTTACATATGAGGCTATGCTCCATAGTTTTCAGAACAGCTTCCTGTCATCAGTTTTCATTTAATACTATGTTTCTGAAACACAGGCAAGTGATAATACCATGAATTAACCCTTTTCTGTGAGCTACCTAAGTAGTTTACGTGGATTATCTCATTAAACCTTCCAAGAATAGTGTGTGGTAGCTACCATGTCCATTTTACAGATGGGGAAACTGAGACTTAGAGGAGTTAAATAACTTGCCCAGCATTACAGTACTACTGAGGAGAAAAGCCAGATTTGAACCCAGGGAGCCTGGCTGGCTGAAGAGTCCCTGTTATTTACCTGTCAGACTTAAGTTCATTATTTTTTTTCTATAGTTGAGAAGATTCTGACGTCAAAGGGCTAAAGAACTTTCTCAAGACCAAAGCACAAACTTTTCAGAAACATATAGTAATTGGCATGAGACACCTTGAGTTATTATTGAATGAGCTTTTGCTTAAAGTTTATCTTGACCTTAAAAATAATAATATCATTCTAGTCTAGACCCTTCCAATAAGCTGACAGGCCATATTGTGCTTTGTAGTAAATTACTGCTGCATCATATGGTTAGATAATTATTTTGTGATGGTGCCTTTCAGAAGGTGTCGCACAGAGAGATGGAGTAGAGTACGGAAACTAAAGCAAGCAGCATTGAGCTAATAAGTGGATTTTTGAAATATAAGCTATTCTGATGGTTATTGAGTTATTTTTTAGAAATATTTCTAAGTAGAAGTCATGAGTATGGTATTTATGAATACCTAGTGGTATCAAATGTTTACATGATATGCAAATGATCCTTCCAAAAACAGCTGCAGGGCACTAGGATTACAAATAGAAGGGAAGCAATGGACAAGAAGGATTGCTTATTAAATGCTGGTCTTCAAGATGGGAGGAACAACAAAAGCTCCCTGAATATACGCAATATCCATGGCAGACTGGGAGACCAAAAGGAAGCCCTTTTAGTTTAATAGTATCTGTCTTAACATAAACTTTGTTCATATTCTAAATCCTTTTAACAGTTTGAAAATATACAATTTTATGGAAATGACAGCATTCTAGATCCTTTATCAAAGTTTTTTTTTTTTAGAAATTTATTCCTTCCTAAATTTTATTTTAATAATTAAATAAGACACACTTCATAACATTTGTACGTTCTATGAGTTTATGGAAAAATTAAAGATTTGTAAAAAGATTGCTTGGAGAGTTTATAAGGATCTTCATCATGAAATGAGAGCACAATAAAATGTATACTGAATCCAAAGGGATGAAAAATATTTCATAGGAGACATTCTAGGAGGATTTTCCAATATTTATTTCACTGACTCTCATTTTTATTATGTTTTTCTTCAAAGAATATAATTTTGTTTTTCTGTAAAAATCAACTTATTTGTTCTTCAAAAACAACATAGGATTGTATCCAACTCTGCAATGAATAAATGAGAAGCAGTCTTGTAAAGGAGAGGAAAGCATGAAGAGTTAGGGAACTGATTGAAGTTCTGTCATTCCTACTTCCTTTTGTGTGTGTGTGGTACAGATTTGTTGAACAGAATGTTCTGATGAAGAGGTGATAAGTAAGGATAAGTAAAGCTGTTATTCAAATGGTGGCCATGCTCTGTCAAAATCTAGCAATACAAAAACGTATGAGCAAACCGATTATGTCAGAAGGTGGACAATTTAAAGTTGATACAAGTGGTCCTAGCAGCAGGATTCAGACTTTTAAATGTACAGATAGTCAAGTGATATAAAGTTGCTGAGAATCCAGGATATATTGGAAAACTCTGCTATCATGTTAAGGACACTCTTAACTCAGAAGATCTACTTTAGGGGGCATCAGATGCCATCATGAACGGGAATTGATCAGCCACAATGCTAGATCTTTGTTTTTTTAACAGAACTTGCTAAGTACTAGAGCTCAAGAGATTAGAAACTGGGAACCATTCTCACATTTAGGGGAAAGCTGTTCTTATTATCCATATTTTTCCTTTTCCTGTAGCTCCCCTGGAACACTGGAACCCAAGCCAGGAATAGTAGCCACCTCCCACTATTCCCCAGGTTACCAGGTCCCCAGGATGGCCAGGAGGAAAGGAGAAGCTTAGGCCTAAAATTGTTGTGACTTGTTCTATGTCACAGAGCTCATTATCAGAATCAGAATAGAATAAAAAATGACTAACTCCAGACGACTGCTCTTCCCATTTTATCATGCTGCCTCCCCTCTATACCAGTGTTTTTCAAACAGTAGAGCTCATTTATAAAGTAAATTCTTCCATAGAAACTCAATGTATCAAAGAAAAAAATAAAATGTTCTTTTTGGAGCCAAAGTGAACAGCATGAAGCCAGACCATTAAGCCGCCTTCTTGCCTGTCTTTCTTTCCCCACCAGGCACCCAAAGAAGCCTGATTTTACAGAGTACAGATGTACTATGCACAATACATCCCATAGTTTTAAAGTTACCTATTTCTGTATTGGTAATGCCCTCACTGAATATTTCTTTCATAAACATTTTCTTGTCTAACATCTTCACTTGAGCTTCCTTTTCAGCTCAGGGTATAACAAACAACATCTAGCAAAGTGTAGTGAGCACCTCATTTCATGCTTGAATCCTCCAATCCAGAATAAACTCACTTTAAGGAGCTGGCAAAGGGGTTAAGAAGGTCAAGAAGTCTACTGTTTAGTGGAAGAGTTAGCCATTTCTGTTTTATCTCCCTTGCCCCTTCTGCCTGCGCTGAGTGAATTTGATTAAAGGTATATGCATGAAAGTAGAAGGGTACTTTCTCAGCTCATTCTCAGAGTTGCTACCTGCTTGCCTGGAATAACATATCCTAAGCACATGCCCTGCTTACTCACTGCCTGGGGAACACACCGCAGTCTTACTTCTGTCCCCACCCTGGTCATTTGTTTCTTAAGCTTAGATATGATCATGACCTTGCTGTGCAGTTGTCTGCTGCTTACTTTTAAGTGGAAATCTCATTTTTGTTTCAGATTCTCCTTCTTCTGTGGTTAACAAACAGCTCGGATCCATGTCACTTGACGAGCAACAGGGTGCGTGCAACAGGAGATGTGCTATGCCCGCCATCCATAGTTCTATTGCAGTGCATAGGCCAACCTCTCTCCTTTTCCAGAGTGTTCCATTTCCATTACGGTTTAAGAGTCAGTATTTGTGGGCTAAATTGCCCTAGGTGGTACTGTGCAAGGGGCCTTCTTGACCTATACAAATTATGTTCTATGTAAACTATGTTAATTTCTACCTTTGGCCCTTTATGCCAAATTGAATTCTCTTCCTATACCAGTACTATAATGGATATAAAGTATATCCATTTTTTATTCTAGGTATCTATCATAAAATTGTGTAGAACTGTGGATGTGAGGTTAGCATATTACCTAGTGGGTAATTTAGAAAAGGTTATTTAAACATGGTAGTGCTCTATATTACTACATTGCTATAGTCATGATACTTGGCTTTATGTCTCACTTTTCTGGTGGGTAAGCTCTGGATAGCTGTAACTGTAAGGAATACAGTTTTGAGTTACAGTCCTGAGGCTCCAAAGCCACAGTCAGAAAGGAAAGGACTTCTACCTCCTGCCTGCACTTTGGAAGCAGGAGAGGTGCAGAGTCAGCCTCAGAGCCTGGAGCAGAGCCTGATGAGATAGTCGTTACAAACATTTTTCAAAAAGACATAAAAAACTGAGCTCGAAAGCCGTAAGCTTACTTGGCTCAGTGTTTCCATATGCAGGATGCCTCACTCATAAGCAGTATTGGGAAAGTGAAATATTGCTGAAGAACCTATTTGATGGGAAATCTAATTTTAATTATCTCCTTGGAGAAATATTCAGAAACTAATTTTAAAGCAAATTGGAAAACTCCCGTACTTCTAATCTTAAATTATTGTTTATACAAGTAGGTTTTATGCTACAGCTTCTTCTGTTCTGATTTTTATTTTTAAAAAAATATCTTTTTATTGATTTCAGAGAGGAAGGGGAGAGAGAGAGAGAGAGAGAGAGAGAGAGAGAGAGAGAGAGAGAAACATCGATGAGAGAGAATTATTAATTGGGGATCAAGCCCAAACCTGTGGGCATGTTCCCTGACCAGGAATCGAATCTTGACCTCCTGGGTCATAGATCGACTCTCAAACACTGAGCCATGCTGGCCGCGCAGTTTTTCAGTTCTTGAGAATGAATAAATGAATTGGTAAATTAATTTAAAAACTAAGAAATTAAGCATACTTTAACTTTATATATTTATTGTACTGGTATTAACAATGAAGAATAATTACTTTGAGGTTAAATACAATTATAGTAGCATTACATTTTATATTTTACTACTGTTTAAAACTGCTCTCTAATCAAGTAATTTTTTTGGTAAGTATATCTGAATGTGAAGAGTATGTTACTACCAGAGAGTTTGTAGCCAGCTTCATAGTCTATAAAATCACATGGAATAATTTCCATGGAATTATATTAAATATCATATTCAATTTAAGTTGGTACTTAATTTACATATGATATGGGATATGATGGAAAGAGACAAAGGACAATGCTCAGATTTTTGCATCAATGACAATGCCATTTACTTTGGTAGACTGTTTTGGAGGCAGAAATCAAGAGGTTTCGGGGGTTGTTGACAATGTATGTCTTTTGGTCAAACAAGTAGAGGTGTTGTATGAAATGTCAGATATTGAGTAGGTCTGCCAGAAGCTGTACCCCTGATAGACAATCATCAGTGCAACTTTGTAGTAAGTCCTCTGAGCAGAAATGTGCCAATGATGGACAGTCGAGCCAAGTAATTAAATCTTGGGCCTTTAAATGCCTTTTACATCCTTTAAAGTACTGTGACTTCCACATCCCAGGCTTATACTACCTGCAGATAACTTTTGCTGTAAGAGTTAAGCTTCCCCCCACTGTCTTTCTCACCTGGACTAATGCAGGTGACCCTCAGGCTACAGTCTGTTCTCTCCCAACAGCCAGAATGGACTTGTAAAAAGGTAAATCTAATCACGTCATTCATCTGCCTCACACTTTGTAATTGGTTCCTATGTCCTTCAAAGCAACCTGAGTCCTTACAGAGCCCCTACATGACCTGGCCCTTGTCTCCCCAGCCTTATCTTAGGTTACTCTTCCTCACCCGATAAGCTCTTGCCAAATAAGCTGCTTTCAGTGCTTCTTTCCCTCTCAGATTCCTTCTTTCCCCCTCTACCAAAAATGCGTTCCCTTCAGCCACTTAGCAAAACACACTTAGATAGCACTTTCTCAAAACTGACAGGACCGTCCGTTCTCCCCTTTCTCTTTGATCTATTTTTCTTCATTGCATTTGTCAACATTTGTAATCACACACTTTAGGGATTGTTTCATGCTTCTGCATGTTCTGTAAATGTTGTTTTATTCATAATATACTCAGTGTGTAGCACCACATCTGTTACACATTCACAATGAGTTATTTATTAGATGAGTGAATACATGAATTAATTCTTTAAGCAGTGAACTGCTATAGAAATTATTTCAGCTTGGGAGAAACATGACCAGATTCATGTACTAGAGAGATCATGTTGGCAGCATTCTAAACGACTGATGAGAAGGGAGTAAAATTGGCAACAGCAAGACCAAGAGGCTGTTGCATCAGTCCAGGTGAGAGGCGGTGAGGCATCCGGTCAGAGGCAGTGGTAGTGGGAAATGAGAATCGACAGATTTCTTAAATATTTAAGAAACAGAATTAACGGGACTTTGAGACCGGCTTAGTTAAAAAAGGAATGGTATCCAGGTGTCTTAGAGGGTGATAAATAGTGATCCCATCAGCCAAGATAGAGATTTCAGGGGAGCAGCTCCTTATAAGGGAAAAGAGACACGCAATTTTCTCCATATGTTGAGTTTGAAGTATCTTGGGATCTCCACATGGAGCAATCTCATAGACAGTTGGATGGGTATGTGATTCTGGACGTCACCAGAGAGGTCTGAGGAGGAGATAAAAACTAGGAATCGCCACTTTCCAGGTGGGAGTGATGAGATTGTTGAGGATAAGAAGGTGAGTGAAAAGAGGAGTCTAAGCAGGAGCAAGCAGAGAAAGAATCTAGCTCGGAGACGGGCAGGAGTGATCAGAGAGACAGGAGGGGCAGAAAGGGTGCCATTTCCAAAGTCAAGGGCATCTGGTCAGTGGTGCCATGGGAAGCACAGCGTTGGCAGTTGGCTGGTTATCAATGCTTTGGCATTGCAGCTCCAGTGAGGTGGTGGCATGGAGCCAAGAGCAGTGGTTTGAGGAGAAAGATTTTTTTTTAAGTAGAGCCATTGGTCTGTAGGTGACTCTTTCAGTAAGCTCAATTAGGAATGAAAAGATAGAGGAAATGTAATATTTGCGGGGGGGGGGGGGTGAGTTTCAAAACTGTAGAATGGAACAAGTTGTAGATTTAATAAGTTTTCTTTCCGAATATATCTCTAACTAATGGTTGTTTAAGCATATTTTAGATTGCCATACTTTTAAAGAAACACTAATGTATTTTTAATTGATTATTAACCCCAGGTGCTTTTACATGTTTTAATTTAATTTTCCATGGTAATATATATATTTCTTTATTTGAAGTTATTACCAAGGATAAAAATGTTATTAATGAAAAATTTTAAAATTTTAATGGCTTACTTCACTGAAAAAAAATCTTTTTCTTTCATTAATTATGAAAACATTATTGAACTGGTTGTTTGCAATTACTGTTTTTGCTTATTTATCTTGAGTTTTTAACAAAAGTACATTTTAGAAACAAAAATATATTTAGTCTAAATATTGAGAGTCATACTTTCTCCATAGTTTATTTTCTTTTATCAAAATACTTTTTTAAGAAACAAAATGGTAAGAAAATAAGTGTACAACATGCAGATTGTTTCAATCCTGTTGTAAAATATATTCTAGTATTCTCCGAAGTTAGGGTTGTGTGTACACACACTGACAGCCCTTCTGAGCTAATTAGAAAATTCATTTGGTAACAATGATATCTGTTATGTGTTTTGTTTAGTTTGCATAGTATGCCTTAATGAGTAGTTTTTATTTAATTATATCTCTAATTATGCCTATGGGAAAAAGTCCTTTTCTGACATTATTTATCTTGCCTATTTATATTATTAAAGCTAACAATTTTTTCCTCTTAAAAATATTTAGGCCAGCAATTTCTCCTTGTTCTATTAAAACAACAACAGCAGCAAAAGAAAACTGTGATCTTCACATTTAACTTTTGAGAGGGTATAGGAAAATAACTTGCCTGAGTTTTACATTTCAGCCATGACTAAAGCAGGTGGTTTTGTATTCATCACGGTGACTATCCCTCAGCGGAAGTCAGTGATGCTATGAAGTGTACAATTTAAGCCTATAGGCAGACACTTTCTATTTCAGGTTTAAAGAGATACGAATGCTAATTCACAGGCTTAAAAATATAAATGTTAACTATCCACTAGGTACTATTTTACATAAGCAGACTTCTTTTTTAAAAAGATACTTTTACTGATTTCAGAGAGGAAGGGAGAGGGAGAGAGCGTTAGAAACATCAATGATAAGAGATAATCATTGATCGGCTGTCTCCTGCGTGCCCCACACTGGGGATCAAGCCACAATCCAAGCATGTGCCCTAACCAGGAATCAAACCGTGACCTCCTGGTTCATAGGTTGACACTCAACCACTGAAGTACGCTGGCTGGGCCAGACTTCTTTTGATGTTAATAAATATTTACTTACAGAAAGAAACTTGAATGATCAGAGACCAGTGAAACAGATTTACTAGTTTTATTAGGTAGATTGGGAAATTGGAAAATTGGTCCTGTCACCAAATTGAAATTTTATTTTAGCAATATCATCTTGAGAAGGTTGCATCAAATTATATTTTAGCCATTAGATTCACTCTGACAATTCTCATCTTCATTAAATAAATATCTAATAATTGAAGCCTGCTGTGTTAATGGTAAATATAAGTTCAGTGTTCATCACACTGGAATTTATCTATAGATACTATATTTTAAATTGTAGAGAAAAATAGTAAAATCAGACTTCACTCTAGATTTTCTGTATTCCTC